GGGGGGGGGGCGCCACGGTATGCCCAGGCTCCTAAAACGAGATTTAAAAAAAAAATTGACTTTATGGCCGCATGGCCGGTTAAATTGTTAGTTGTTATACAGTAGGCCTACTACTCTCAACTCAATAAACACGAATTTTATTGTACTTAATTTCAATTAACACTATTTTAATGTATCCATAAAAGCATTAAGACATTAAATTAAACTCGATTCACCATTGTTATGTTCTGCTTGACTGATCAGACAGACCCATACAAAGCGATTGCGACAGATTTGGCTTGGCGTAGGCAGTATGCCCTCAGTATCCTGGGATGGGAAAACTTTTTTTTTTTGGTCCGATTACCCGACAAGCTTTGGCCGATGGGTGGGCTTGACCAGACCGATGTGGGGGACCTTAAGCCCCTTCCCCACCCCTCCCTCCTCCACTCCCACTGGCTTCGCCCCTGGAAGTTAAAAAACGGCCTGTAGACCAAACCCAGTGGCGTTGCGATAAATAATGTGGGAAATTCACTCACGCAGTTTATCTACAACAGTTTGTAGAGGGCGTTCTGTCGTCGAGCGCAACACATTTTCAGTCTGAGTGGACTCTCTTCTGTACCCTTTCTTTGCTCTATGCGATAGACTGACATCTGAGCAGCAGTGTGGTGGTGTCGCTGTGCAGTAGTACAGTCATAGGTGATGTTCTAGTATTTTAGTAGTGTTAAAAATAAGGAATAAAAGCGGCCTTGAAATTGAAGATTTGGTTATAGAAAGCAATGGAGACAGATACACTACTTGAACCACCTTCTAAAAGGTAAGATTCGTCAAGTAGGCCTATCCTGGGGGTAAGTAGGCCTATATAATACGGTCACAAGAACAATGTGACAGTGATGATAATGATTCACATGTGCTGCCCACATGTGCTATATAAGGAGTCCTTCCTCACCTACACCCACGTGTTTATGAAACTACCTGGCTGGGTTTAGACAAAGCCTATCCAGCTGCGACCTGCCTGGTTGTAGATCTAGACCTAGGCCAAGTTAGCCTAAAGCATACATACATGTCCAACATTTTGATAGTAAAAAAAGGGAGATTTGGTTCTTTGGAGTGGTTAGTGGGGGGGGGGGGGGGGGGGGGGGTCGTGTGAGGTGTGTTTTCGTTGGTTGTCCTGGTTGCATTATTTTTTCCCCATACAGTTAAGGCAGAAATTATAGAGGGCGCTATTTTAGGTCAGTTGAGTATACTGATAAATATGAATATACAGTAGAACCTTACGTACAGGACGGGCCCAGAGGCGCTCGTAAAAATCATTCGTACGTAAAGTCAGGGTTGTGTGAAATTCCTATGTATTAACACTACCGATATGCTAGACTGGGGCAGGCCTGGACTTGAATTTTGTTAAATTAGAGCCAAAACACCAACATGCGCTGGAAAGAAATTCAAAATAACGATCATAAATGTACAATACACCTACATGTTATTTACAAACTTTATTAATAGGCCTATATAAATTATCATCTAGCTTACGAAGAAACACAGCCCCGCGGGTGCCACAACAGGGCGAGTAACGCAACAGCATTTTTCACTCGATCCATATGTGCTTGTAGCGTGAAATATATACCTGTACAGGATAACCTGGAAACCGGGGTTCACTCATTAAAAGAAGAGTGCTGATTGGCTGTAGACACAGCGCTTGGACTTAATTTTGTTTCTTTTGTATGCAATACGATTGTTCTACGCCTACATCCACATTTATGTAATGAATATTAAAGTTAAAAAGAAAATATATGTGTAGCGTCTTATTTATGGGGAAAATAATGAAATGGCAGATTAACGTTAGAGAGATTTGACAAATAAAATCCATTTTTAATTAAAATTGTAAATGGAACCTAAATGTGACTGTAGGCCTATACGCTACACAGTAATCTCTTGTGTGAAATTTATTCGAATATCATTGGTTAAAATAAATTTGGTAGGTGGGTTAATTGCAAAGATTATTTTGTCTTTTCTATTACGTAAGAGTTAGGGCTAAGACACATGATTTATTCAGTGGACAATGTTCTTGAACAAGTTTGTTTACGAACATTTTCCACTGAATAAATCATGCGCCTATTGATATGCCGACAACTTGCGCATTGGGCGGAGTTTTCTCACGTCTGCAGACATGAAGTACAGTATGATCGCCGTGTTGAATGTCATTGTTCAAAGTGCACTATGTGCATTTTTGTATTGTAGTAGAGATCGCTGATAGTGTACAGCAAACAGAGTGAATAAATTGCAGCATGCACCTAACGATTAATTCTTGACTTCCTGACTTAGTATAACATACTTTTCAGTTTTTCAGAGATTTTGATTTTAAAGATTAAGGATTTAAAAAAAAAATTATCTCATTTAAAAGGACTGCATGTCAACAGCTTTGCTTTAAATTTCGTACTGTATATCATTTTCATATTTATAGACACACATATTTTTTCTATTGTAATCGCATATGTGATATGAATGTGATTGTGAAATAAATCGTTATTGAATATTTATAATGACAGATATTGAATATTAATAATTACAGATTTATGAATGTTACCCGCTCCGAATGTTGTGATTTTATAAATTATAATTGTATCTTCGGTCTGCTACATTATGGGAAAACATATTGCCTCCTAAAATTTCACCATGCGCCCCAATTGCCCCCCCCCCCACGTCACCACAACCGCGTGATATGGTAGATCTGTCCTTAATCTTACAGTCTTTACTGACCAAGACACCTTGTAATCATGATCCAGTGTTATACCAGGCCAACATGAATTTTGCAGCGCTCACATCTACATGTCTCGCACTACTCACAGAGTGGCGATGATGTCTCTGGGAAAAATAATGAAAGAGAATGTAAATATTTTTCGTAGTATTTTATTGCAAAAAGAAGACAATGCAATCAGTGCGGCATGCAATTTTCTTTGTAACCGGTGAGGCACATGAGAAAGAATAAGAAAAAAAGTTGGGCTAGATTCAGGTCACCAAAATGGGAGTCTCCCGCAAAAAACAGGAGTATTGGCATGCATGCTATATTAAAAAAAAAAAAATCTACTTAGAACATAATTTGAATAATAATATTAGTAATTAATGTTTTATTATGTAATTAAATCTCAAAATGCATTGTACAGTATACAATCATACTATATATATTTTCATAATTATACTTTACTACTTTGCATTCCTCAAAATTTTGATAATATTGAGTATGGAGAGAAAGTACTTGCTGATTGGATTTTTTCTTATAGTTCCTCTGTGATTCAACTGAACACATGCTGTACTAATGACTACCAAGAAATCATTGCTTTCTCACTAATATTTAAAATATAACAACAGCTAAAGATGCAAGACAAGTCATGCCTTTTTTTCCCCAGGTATAAATGGCAGTCTATCAGTGCTACCTTAACATATTAAGTACGCAATGATTTATATTAGATCAATTCAATTCAATTCAGGTAACATTTAGATTAATTCAGATAACATTTATTTCGATAATAATGCCAAACAAATACAATTATAACAGTACAAAAAAAAAAAATGACAAAAAATGGGAAAAAACATTATTATCATTGGGTCCTAGTTTAGGAAGTAGGTACTTGTCTCGCTAGGACCCAGTGAAGAGGTAGAAAGAAAATAAATTTTAAAGAGACAAAATAAACTAAATATATTACCGGTAGTTTTATTTCTTATAGGTACAAGACCACACCTGTTGATGACTTCTACTTCAAGTAAGTCAGTAAATTTACTTTTTATATAATTCGTCAATCGGCAAATTCAACAAATGTTATCAATATGGTAAAACAAATCAGATTTATTTACACTAAACATTAATTTAATGCAATATAATTATTATATTAACAGGGTTTAAGCTGGAATAACAAATTAGCATTTTGGCTAATTTAGTATAAAAATAATAGCCAAATAGAAATTTGATTAGCTTATTGCCTAATTTTGATTGAAATATCAAGCAAAATTCAGCATTTAGTATTAATAGGATGGTTATTTGGCTAAGGACAGCTTTTGCTATAGTGACAACACTTAATAGGCCTATGGTACATTTATACAGCACAATGACATGATATGTTTATATAACTTTTTATTGTATCATAAACATGAAATTCAAAGAATACTTTTTCTCACAGGCTATGTACTGGTAAAGAGTTTTTATTTAGCTAACTACTGTATCTCAATCTCATTATATGTTCACTTTTTTGCCTCAAGGTTGTGACAACTTGAGGCGCTAACAGTAAATCCAGAATTATTATTCTTTATTATTAATGCCACCAATGCCATAGTACCACTGGATATTGCATTCTGACGTAGATATTAGTGCTATACAAATCCTTGTCGGTTGATTGATTAATTGATTAATTGGTTAATTGATTAAACTTGCCAAACCATTGACAATTACAGTATCATCACATTTTTTGTTCATGTTTTTTATTACGATTATAAAATATTTACAGAATGAGACTTCAGTAATTCTTTAATAATTGCAAACCTTTCTTTTTTAATAACATAGGTCTTATGCAGATCTCGATGTACATGCAGAAATGATTTCAGATTCAGTTAGAACCAACACATACAGGTAGTAAAATACTTTTTTTCTCCATTAATCCTTTCGTTACGGTACTAATTTTATTGTTGATGGTCGTGGTATTAGTAATAATATAGCAATAAACAAAATTTAAACTTTATTGTGTCTGTTACAATCTATTTTAAAATCCATCCAAAATTAACATGAAATAAAAAAAAAAGTTTTGTACGTACAACAAATTATTTTAAATTGACATCAAAAATATGAAATTTGGGGAGTGAAAGTACAGATGGCCGTGTTAAGCTCTGTGCAGGTTGTCAAATTTTCTGTTATGCCCGTAAATAGTCATTATGTGCCTATATATGGTCATCGTGACCATATTTAGGGATGTCGCATGTTTTTTCTTGAAATAGTATTTGATAGTCTGGAAAGGGATTTAGGGCCTGTTTTGCCTGAGCAAAAAAACGTGTATTATAAACGATTATTAAAAAACATATTTTTTGCCCACAGAAACGGGGCAAAAAACAAAAACATGGTTAGTATTAATGCATTTGAAAAACAAGTGCTTTAACACGCATTCATTAGGGTTGGCGTTAAGAAAACGTGTATTTTGTGGTACACTTTTCAGCTGCAACGCAATACCGTGTTAGTCATGACCCAGGGGTGATCCAAATTGACCTCTACGTTGGTTTGATCGTTCGTCTGCGGAAAATTCGGGGCAAAGCAAAGAAATTAAACGAACAGCTTGTGGCTTTACCATAATTTTTTCATACTTTCGCTGTGTGTTGTTTACTGTACTTCTTTCGCAGCATGCGCTGTAAGCTCGCAGAAGTAAGGTCAAGTTCAACATCTGTTGGTGATCATCATCATAAGCTCCGCCCACCTGTCCAATGCTTGCATTACCGTGTTTTTATTAGTTGCACTTTTTACTAGA